TGCTGAAAATTTCAAACTTATGGCCTGCCCCTAATGGCTCTTCCGGCCAGAGCAGTAACTCCTTATTGGCTAATGTACTATCCCGTCATCATTCTGCAACTTTCCTAAATGAACCTATATAAGTGTGTGCTTTTCTTTAAGTCCCTCCTCCCTTCCTCCCTCCCTCCTTCTCCCTCTCCCTCTCCCTCGCTCCTCTTTCTCCTTCTCTCTCTCCTCTTCTCTCTCCTCTTCGCCCTCTTCTCTCTCCTCTTTTTTCTCTCTGCGGCATCCTGCCCTTGCCAATAAAGACCTTTCATACACGCTTTGGTGGTCTGTGAGATTTCTGCTGGTCAAGTGCCGCCCTTTCAGTATAGACTTCCATCAAAATCCCCCAAGGATCTGGTTGCAAATGCTGATGCTTAGGCCCCATGTCAACCAGCTCCCCCAAGGCTACAGCCCAAATACCTGTTTAAAATCAACCCCCATGGATTCTTGAACAGACTATTTGACACTGGCCCCTTAAGGGCAAGAACCAACTATCACATGTCTTTATATGTCCAAAGTTCAAGGGGAAGCCTAGCTGAGAATCAGCAGAGAACATGCTGAACCAAACTGACAAACTACTTTCTTTTTAATGGGTCGCTCAAAAAAAAAAAAAAAAAAAAAGGCATGTAGGAATCTGTCTACTCCAGCCCACTTTCTACAAAACAATCCATTCAGCAACCTGGGTGCCTCTCCTGAGAGGGACCTGCCCACTATGCCATCTGCCATCACCAGAAAAGAATCACTGCCAAGATTACCAAGAATGGCATCTCCTAGTCCTTCGTGGCCATTAGCTACCCTTCCCTGGGGACCGCCACATCACCATGTGTTAGAAGGAAGTGGCCTTATCTTCCCAGCATTAATTGTCCCTCTTTGGAGCACTTAAATCTGTGTCTTCAACCCTTATTTCAGAGCCACCTAAAGAGGTCTTCTTAGAAATGCATGTTCCTGAATTGCACCCAAAGGTAAGAATTCACAGGTTGGGATTTGGGGAGTTGTCCAGGCAGCACCCTACTCCTGGATGATTTTGACACTGAGGACTTCTGATGCATTTGTAGAGAAATAACCATCCTGGCTTGGTGCCTGTGGCTCAAGCAGCTAAGGCATCAGCCACATACACCTAAGATGGCAGGTTCGAATCCAGCCCGGGCCCGCCAAACAACAATGATGGCTGCAACCAAAAAAAATAGCCGGGTATTGTGGCGGGCGCCTGTAGTCCCAGCTACTTCAGAGGCTGAGGCAGGAGACTCGCTTGAGCCCAAGAGTTGGAGGTTGCTGTGAGCTGTGATGCTACAGCACTCTACCCAGGGAACAGCTTGAGGCTCTAGCTCAAAAAAAAAAAAAAAAAAAAGAAAAGAAAAGAAAAGAAAAGAAATATCCATCCTAAGTCACCTCACAAAGAAATCCCTCCACTTCCTTTCCTCCGGGGGCTAAGACTGTGTTTCCCTGCCTCTTCCCGGTTTAGGAGGAGGAGGGGAGACTTGGTGCTGTGGGGGTAAGAAGTGAGTGGGGGAAGGAATTAAGAAGGGGAAGTATCTGCTTTGTGAACATTCAACCCAGCAGCCTTGAAAGTCCGGTGAGACTTAACCCGAAAGTCCTTTCCTAAGGATTCCCTCCAAGAGCTTAGAGAACTTCTTACAAACTGGGGGGGAAGGGGAGGGATTCATATTACTTGAGCATTATTTTTTCACCCTAGTAACTTGTTAAGAGTTCCCTGTTTTTTTTCTACTACCTACCTAGACCCCCACTGCCTACCCCTAGGCATAATTAATTGCTTCCCTGCTGTGTCTCACTTTTGCAGAGTGCTTAAGACCCTTTTCCTTGATTAGAGCACTCAACCGGCATTAAAGCTAATTGTTTGTTGTAGGTCTCTTCCCCAGATACCCTGTGCTCCTGAAAGCTGGTTGGTGTTTTTATTTTCTCTGCACCTCGGAGGCCTGGCCCTGGGAGGTGTTTAAATAAAGGTTCCAGGTGGGTGGTTTGCAGACAAGGCCCACCCTGGCCCCTAGGTTGTGCCTCTTTGAGAGATCTGCACCTGTAAGTGTCAACGCCTCAGACTATCCCCATCTTTTTATAGCTTTGCTTCTCTTTAACTCATTTCCTACCAACAAATCTGTATGCAAAAATTATAGACACAAGTCATTGCTCTTCAGAGGCACCACCAATTAACCTTGAAGCTCTGTTGTTTTGCTGGTGCAGAGATACAGACACGTAGAACCTTATCACAATACGTTTCACAATGGGTTGTAACCAGCCTCACCAAAGCCATAAAAGGCAAGTAGTTTTACAGCAGTATTTCTGAACTTGAAACAAGAGTGCTCAGAATGTAGAGGAGTTTTCAGAAAACTTAAAAACCTCTTTTTCTGGTTCTTAGAGCTGAGACTTTTGGAAGAGCCCGCTGATTGCATCTGTACTCTTGCGACTGCCAACTCACCTTCCACTAAGATTGTCCGAAAACCCAGACTTGCTAGTCCTCTCTGCTTAGGAAGGTCAACTTCCATCTTCCTGTGGTATCTGAGAAGTTCTGGCATTGAACTGGGGTGAGAGTCCCCAAGAAAGGATAGGAGGCCAGTCCAGCAACAAGGAAAGACTTTAATAGAGGGGAAAAGAAGGATGGAGACTGAGCAGGTATCAGCTCAGCTCCCACACAGTTGCTAAAGGCTTTTAGTAGCCGTATCAGTAGAGCTGGAATGGGGCAGTGAGCCCCGAGTACCACCTAGGGCACTTCTCTAGTGCTGGTCGGAAATTATGGGCATATCCCTGGGGTCAGGATTATGGATGGGTAGGGTCTTTCCAGGAACCTTTAGGCACTCCAGGAATCTGGGGAGGGGACTGCTAGTTTCTGATCTGATTTTCTAAAGTGGCAACACTCCTGTCGCAGTTATTATTACCAGATGAAGACGGTCTGGCCGCCCGCCACTGTTAGCCAATATACAGAGACAGAGAGCAATAAGTCCACCAAACTTTATTGGTCAGAAGGCGAGGATTCTGGATTCAGTGAGAGTAGCCTCTCCAAGATTGTTCTGTTCTTCTAGTTCCAAAATTACAGTTTTATATGTAATGGCTCACAGCAAAGACCACAATAACTTAGTTTAAATAATAATCAGCACAACTCAGTGACAATCTATTATAACATTTCCAATTCAAAAGTTAATTCCTAAACTATTTCTTTAGGGTGGGAGTTAAATTTATAAAACAAAAAGAATGAGAGACAGGAGTGAAGACCAGCTATATCGTGTCCACCTTAGCCTGGCAGACTCCATCCTATTCTTACTACATGTGAGAATTCCTTTCCCACAGGTTCCAAAGCCTTCTCACCTTGGGACTCTACTCTGCCAAATAAATGCCCTTTTTGTTCCAGCCACACTGAACCACCTGCCCCTCTGAACAAGCCTCCCCTCCCAAGCGTGGCTTCTGCTATTTCCCTGCCTTGAATGCTCTATCCCCCACCTTGGCCTCTTGAAATACTGGATACCCCCTTAACCAGCCTCCCTAACCCAACACCAGCTGCGGCTCCCCGGCTGGGATCCATACCTGGCTCCACCTTTCCTGTGTGACCATAGGAAAGACACTCAACCACTCTGAACCTCAGTTTGCTCATCTTCAAAAATAACAATTCAAAGACTGTCTGAAAGAAAACAAAATCCCCAGACAATAATTTTCAGCCTCCAACTCAATTCTCTGAACCATTCTCACTTGCCTTCCCTTCTCACCCAGAGCCAAGATTACACTATGAGTAGAGCTGAGACCTTGGGTATCACCCCGTGGGACTAGGAGGACTTAGAGGTCAAGGGACCATGTCTCAGTCCTATCCCAGGGCCTAGCACATTGTAGCTATGCAATGAATATTGTATACGAGGTTAGCATGTCTTGTCAGCAATCAGACTGATATAATTCACAGGCCAATTGCTTCTGTGTGATGGTGGTGAAATAAATGGCTCCATTCAAGCCTCTTCCCCCACTTGACTGTGAGTGCCACGTGACCCTTTATTGGTTGTGGGATCTGCACCTGGCACCAGTAGGTGCTCAGTAGACACAGGCTGCCTGGTGTTCAGGAAAGCTGAGCTGCCTTTATCTTTCCAGCAACAGTGGCTGTGGGATGTGAGTGCTAGAATCTTCTCACCTCACCAGCAGCATTGCCACTTTTTTTTTTTAAGACAAGATCTCACACTGTCTCCAAGCCAGAGTTCAGTGTCCTTATCACAGCAGCCTCAAACTCCTGGGCTCAAGCAATCCTCCTGCCTCAGCCTCCTAAATAACTGAAATGATAGGTGTGTACCACCACGCCCGGCTAATTTTTGTATTTTATTTTTTTAAGAGGAGTCTCACTGTCACCTGGGATTGAGCATCATGTCATCATCATAGTTCACAGCAACTTCAAACTCTTGGGCTCAAGCGAACCTCTTGCCTCAACTTCTCAAGTAGCTGAGACTACAGGCGCCCGTCACAATGCCCAGCTAATTTTTTCTATTTTTTAGTAGATACGAGGCCTCACTCTTGCTCAGGCTGGTTTAGAACTCCTGAGCTCAAGCGATCCACCAGCTTTGGCCTCCCAGAATGCTAGGATTACAGGCATGAACCACCATGCCTGGCCTAATTTTTCTATTTTTTGTAAAGACAAGGTCTGGGCTCTTGTTCAAACTGCTCTCAAACTCAATGAGCACAAGCCATCCTCCTGCCTTGGCCTCTCAGAGTGCTAGGATTGCAGGTGTGAACCACCACACCTGGCCATTTTCTCTGAAAAGGAAAAACTTTTACAATTGTAAATCTCTCAACGCCTCATAATTTGTAGGGTAAAGAAACCTAGGCCCAGCAACAACGCCCCGCCTCTGGTCCCGCCTCTGCGCATAGGCCCCGCCCCGAGTCCTACCATAAGCCCCTCCCTCACGCTTGGGCCTGCGGTCTTAAGCTCCGCCCCGCTCCAAGCCCCGCCTCCGCCCCCGTGGCCGGTGCTGTTCTGCGCAGGTCTGTCTCGCGCAGCCCCTGCGGAGAGTCGCTGACAGGAAACAAAAGTCCCACACGACAATGTCGGGACCTTGTCTTCCCCAGGAGGCAGTCAGGTAAACCTTTCCCGGCCCCTAGCACTCCGAGCCCGGCCTGGGCCGGCCTTGATCGCAGCGGGGGCCGCCGAGGCCTTGCGGCCGGGCTTGATTTTGCTGCTCCCTCTGTCCCGCGGCCCCTGCGTGGTGCGCTAGCCCTTGTGGCCGTACGCAGAGTCTCAGACCTTTGCACCTTTTGCAGCCAGAAACAGCTTGCTGTAGCCGACATCGTGCACTCACAAGCGGGTTTCTGCCCCTTCCCCGAGGCCAAAGCGCTTCTCCGCAAGGCGCTGCCGCTCCGCTGTCGGACCTCGGGAGCCCTGCTGGTGGCGCACCTCCGTGCCAGGAGCGCGGGTTCAAGTTCCGGCACCTGCTTCTAGGTGTGACCTCGGGTCTGTGTGTCAGTTAGGGGACTTCTCTGAGCCAGACGTGATCCTGTCCTCACTTCCCGGGCTGCCATCTTCATAACATGAACACATGTTTTTGCAGCCTTTTACTTCTTCTGGCCCCTCTGGTCAGTTCTTGGGGCTTGTTCTTAAAAGACACCGTCCATCCACTCGCACTCTGGGCCCGTCTGTTTCCTGGGTGTATCGCATGGACACTGGTACCCCCTCTCCTCATGCCACCAGTATTCACATCTAGTGTGCACTCTGCCACGTTGGAAGAGGCAAAGAAAAAGTTGCCTACAAATAACCACTCATCTAAAAATAGGAAAATTTATGACAGGGGTTACCGTTCATTGAGTACCAGCCACAGTATGGGAAATGCATCATTTAATCTTCATAAATAGACTCAAGCATGTCACAGCTGAAGTGAAACGCAGAGAAATTATTCCTATACACTTTTGAAACCAATTTTGACTGTCTTAAACATCTGATTTTGCCTACTATGCAAAACTACCTTATGTGAGAAAAAGTAAAATCAAACTGTTTGTTTTTGAAGGCTGCTGCAAACAGAGTGGCTTACAAAGGTAGAAATGTATTCTCTCATGGTTCAGAAGGCTAGAAGTGTGAAATCAAAGTGTCAGCAGGCACACACTCCCTCTGAAGGCTCTAGGGGGATAATGTTTCCACACCTCTTCCAGATCCCGGTGGCTTCTAGAAACATGGCCCCAACCTCTGTCTTCACAGGGCCTTCTCCCCTGTGCGTCTGTGTCCTCTCCTCTTTCAAGTACACCAGTCATGGGATTGGGGAGTCACCCTAAATCCAGGGTAATTTCATCTCAAGATCTTAATTACATCTGAAAAGATCCTATTTCTGAATAAAGTCACATTCTGAAATTCTGGGTAGATACAAATTTGGGGAGGTTGGGGGTGGACACCATTCAACTCATACAAACCAGCAACTAAATACGCCTGTCTAAAGGATCAAACCGTTGTAGAGGTAATTTCACCTCCTTGGTTAAATACATTCCTGGGTATTTTATTTTATTTTGTTGTAGCTATTGTAAATGGGATTGAGTTCTTGATTTGGTTCTCACCTTGGTCATTATTGATATACAGATTTTTGTACACTGATTTTGTATCCTAAGACTTTACTGAATTCATTTATCAAATCCAGTCTTTTGGAGGAGGCTTCTGGATTTTCTAAGCATAAGATCATCTCATTAGCAAACTTCATTTGACTTCCTTTTTTTTCCAATTTGGATGCCCTTTATTTCCTTCTCCTGCCCCACTGCTCTGGCTAAGACTTCCAGAACTTTGTTGAACAGCAGTGGTAGAAGGGGGCACCCTTGTCTTTTGTTCCAATTCTTAGGGGAAATGCTTTCAATTTTCACCATTCCATAGGACGTCAGCTGTGGGTTTATCATACAGGGCTTTGATTATTTTGAGGTATGCTATTTCTTTGCCTAGTTTGTCAATGGTTTTTATCATGGAGGGATGCTGGATTTTATTAGATGTTTTCTTGGCATCAGTTGAGATGATCATATGCTTTTTAATTCCGTTTATGGGATCAATCACGCTTATGATTGGCATATGTTGAACCATCCTTCCGTCCCTGGATGAAAGGTACCACGTGAAAAAGCCACCATTTGTGGTTATAAATCCAAATACTCGCTTCTTATTAGGAAATGGTTCTGAAAATTTTGTTTCCGTGGTCCACAGCATCAGTAACACCATCACTGGAAGTTTGATATAAATGCCAATTCTCGGGGACTCACTCCAAAGTTCATGAGTCACAATGTAGGAGTGAGCCCAGCAGTGTGTGTTTGCCCTCCAGGTAATACTGTTATTGCTCAAGTTTGCCACTGACATGGCATACGGAGGGCCAGGTTAAGAGAAAGTATTCTAACCTTAGAATGACTTTGAGGAAACCTATCTTGTCTGAATATAATTATGGATTTCAAAGTTCAAATACTGCATTATTGAAAAAACATTTTACCACTTGTTTTTTTGTTTGTTTGTTTTGCAGTTTTTGGCCAGGGCTGGATCTGAATGGGCCACCTCTGGTATGTAAGGCCAGTGCCTATTCCTTTGAACCACAGGCACCGCCCTTTACCACTTATTTTTAAAAGACGAATTCTGGCCATTTTGCCTAGGCTGTTCTTAAACTACCAGGGTCTTAAACTCTGGTTTAAGGATCCCTTAAGTGATCCCTTAAACCAGGATCCCTTAAGTGATCCACCCACATCTGTCTCTCTCTCTTTTTTTTTTTTTTTTGCAGTTTTTGGCCGGGGCTGGGTTTGAACTCGCCACCTCCATATGGGGTTGATGCCCTACTCCTTTGAGCCACAGGCGCTGCCCCACATCAGTCTCTTGAGTAGCTGGGATTACAGGTGTGACCCACCATCCTTGGCTTATTTTACCATATTTTAATTTAAAATTTAATTCGTGTTTCAAAGTGAACCTCTGTGCTAAACTCTGTGCTTAGTGATTTTTTTGCCTCGTTTTCATCTTGCCAACAACCATGTAATTTAGATACTATTATTGAAAAGCGCACTGACACTCATAAATGACCAACCACACACACAACCACGCAGAAATGTAGGGAGGATTAGACACTTTTGGGGGGTGGGGCCAGGGGTGGGTTTGAACCCGCCACCTCTGGTATATGGGGCCAGCTCCCTACTCCTTTGAGCCACAGGCGCTGCCCGTGGATTAGACACTTTTTACCGTAACTCTGCTTACCAACATGTCTGTCTGGTCTGTTTCCATTTTAGAAACAGTCTGATAGAGGATGCTAAGGTCCGCTTAAGGAAGCATGATGTTGGGAGCAAATATTCTCACTTGTCATATACCAAATACTCCATCCTTTTACCATTGTTGGCTAAAGAAGGAAAACTCCATTTGCTGCTCACCACCCGGTCAGAGAAGGTAGGTGGACAAAAGGCCCCTGCCATTCATTAAATCTCAGGGGATTTGAAAATCTCGTGCAATTTTGTCACTTGTGCACATTTTGAGGCCACAAATGGACTTTCAAAACTGTGATGTCAAAGGGTTACAGGAGGCCACAGGATAACGTGCGTTTTTTTGGAGAAGGTTTTGGAAAGAAAGGGAATTTAGGTAGCAGGTAATTTAAAATGCTTTCAGATCAGGATTACCTAACATTGGTGCTGTTGGCATTTGGACTGGGTAATTCTTTGTTGTGGAGGCTGTTCTGTGCATTGTGGGGAGTTTAACATCATCCGTGGCCTCTGTCCCCCACATGCTGTTAGCAAACGTACACTCGCACACACATACACACATGCTCCTTTGTGACCACCACTGATGTCTGTAACACTGCCTATGTCCTGGCAGGGATGAAGGGATGCAAAATTTCCCTCACCAAGAACCACCATTTTAGACTAATTCCACCCCCAATGAAATGTGAAAATACTCCCGGGGTGTCCAACCCTTCATATATATAATATATAATATATATATAATATATATATATTTTTTTTGAGACAGTGTCTCACTATGTTGCCCTTGGTAGAGTGCCGAGGCGTCACAGCTCACAGCAACCTCAAACTCTTGGCCTCAAGTGATTCTCTTGCCTCAGCCTCCCAAGTAGCTGGGACTACAGGTACCTGCCATAACGCCCAGCTATTTTTAGAGACAGGGTCTTGCTCTTGCTCAGGCTGGTCTCAAACCTGTGAGCTCAGGGCAATCCACCCACATCAGCCTCCCAGAGTACTAGGATTACCGGCATGAGCAACCCTTTTTCTTTTCTGCTACACACAGGATGAAGAGTTGTTTTGGGCCACAGTTAAATACACAGTCATGATAGCTGAGGAGCAAACAAAAAAAAAAAAAAACAGTCTGTGCATACTTTTTGTGATATTCAACGCTACAGATACTAAAATAGTCCTCCATTAGTCTGCGTGTGGTCCACTGGCTATAGGTTGGACACCCCTGTTAGAGGATAGAAGTTAATAGCCTAGTCCCTGAAGCTATCTGCCTACCTTGAATGCTGTGTGACTCTATCCTAATTACTTAACCTGTCTGTGCTTTAGTCTCTTCACTTCTAAAATGAGGACAAAATACTAGGATGTGTTTCATACAGCTGCTATAAGAACTTCACAGGGTAGCAAATATAAAATACCTGAAACAGCCATGGCACTTGGCAAGCAAAGATTCAGTAAGTTACAGCTGACATCCTTAGTGTTAAGTGCCAGAAACAGCCTGCAGTGTTAAGGTAAACTCTTTCAGCTAGAGAATGGGCTGGGAATAGAGTTTCTGGCTTATTACCCCTGTGCCCCCGAGTACGGTTATTTGCCTTTGCTTTTGGGATATTTCCAAGGAAAAGTTGGGGAAGCAGTAATTTCATTTCAAATTCAAATACAAAAAGAAAATGGATCGTCATAACATGGCTTTTTAAGCAAAATAATGGCAGGTATCTTGTTAGCAAAAAGAAAGACAAAAATAAACATGAGGAATCAATGAGTGGAATTTTGTGCACTTGGGAGTAGACTGGTGTAGATTCTTTTTGGTCTGGGCCAGGCAGCAATGACTTAAATTCGAGGGGAGATATTTCCGTGGAAACCAGAGGACCAGAGTGTGTTCCCTGCCCTGCCAGTAAGCACAGGAGAAGCACTTCATTTTTTAAATTATCAGAGAAACAAGTAGAAAATCTGGATAAGACCAAAATCTCAAGCAAGTGGGTCTTTGGTCTCTCTCTCTCTCCTTTTATTTTTTTCTCCCAGAACAGATTTGCCTATTGATTGTTAAGGTCATTTTTAAGTTAAGTATTTAATTAAATCTGCCTGTGGGGTGAGAAGTTCTCCTGGGGGCGTAACCAGATCTCTGCCCCTCCCTTATACAAGCAGAGGGCTCAAAGGAAATATCCTCCCAGGAGATGGGAAAGGGGACTCCAGGCATCAGCACAACCCCCTTAAATGTGTGCTGTCCTGCTAGGTCTGGAAGTTGGATCAAAGTTCTTAATCTCCCTGGGTCTCAGTTTTCTCATCTCTAAAATGGGACAGAAAGTAGAAGATGTGTTTTGAGAGTAAAAGATGTCACGGGCGCTGGCGTGCTGTAAATGCTGCATGCTGGTGGCTATTACACGTTTTCATTTATTCCTTGTCCCGGTCCACCTGGGTTAAGGGGCTCCTCTCAGAGCCCTGGAGCCCACAAAGAGCTGGCAAACCCCCCTTCCTCCAGCACACACCTTTGTACCTTGAAAGCCACTGACTTTATGACTCTCAGGAATGAACTGCCTTGCATTACCATTACTCTCTCATCCCTCACTCCCTGTATCCTCCCGTTTCCCCACCCAGTTCCCCATCCCCAGCTCTCCCTCTCTCTGGGGCTTGAAATCAGCAAGAGAACATTCAAGAACAAGAAATAGACTGAAGTCTGAGGCAATGAGGCTGCAACCTTATTTAGCTTCTGAGTAGAATTTCATAAGATTTTATTTAATAAAAAATGTATACTATTTACCAAAAAATAAATGGAAAGCTTCTATATTTAGATAGGTTGTTTGCAGTGCTGACAGTTTGTGGATAGTTTTAGAAATTTGCCTGCCTTCTTCAAAAGAATATAATTTTTCTTCTTTATACATTTATTTAAAATTTTATATTGAGAGAGAAGTTTTGTTTTTGCGGGGAGACAGAGTCTCAAGCTGTTGCCCTGGGTAGAGTGCCATGGCGTCATCATAGCTCACAGTAACCTCCAACTCTTGGGCTCAAAGCCATCTCTTGCCTCAGTTTTTCTATTTTTAGTAGAGACAGGGTCTCGCTCTTGCTCAGGCTGGTCTCAACCTTCTGAGCTCAGGCGATCCACCCGCCTTGGCCTCCCAGAATGCTGGGATTACAGGTGTGAGCCACCGCGCCCAGCCAGGGAGATAAAATTGTATATATTTATCGTCTGTAACATGATGTTTTGAAGTTTATATTCACTGTGGGTGACTGAGTGTGGCTACCTCACATAGGTTTGTGGTCTTTCCAAGGAACAGTGAGGAAGCAGTAATTTCATGGTTATCCAAATACAAAAAGAAAACGGATCACAATAACATAGCTTTTTTGTTTTTGTTTTTTGAGACAGAGTCTCACTCAGTCATGTAGAGTAGAGTGCCATGGACTCAGCCTAGTTCCCAGCAACCTCAAACTCCTAGTGATTCTCCTGCCTCAGCCTCCTAAGTATGTGGAACTACAGGCACCCACCACCATACCTGGCTAATTTTTCTAAGCTTTAGTAGAGATGGAGTCTTGCTTTGTTCAGACTGGTCTCAAACTCCTGAGCTCCAGGGATCCTCCCGCCTCGACCTCCCAGAGTGCTAAGATGACAGGCATGAGCCATAGCTCCCAGCCACAAAGTTATTTTTGTGGTGAGAACACTTTACATTTGCTCATCATTTTTAAAGAACATAATGTGTTGTTAATGATAGTCACCATGTCCTATAACAGATTTCTTGAATCTACTTCTCACATCTGAGATTTCATATTTTCCAATGAACATCTCCCCAACCCCCTCAGCCACTGGTAACCACCATTCTTCTCTCTACTTCTAGGAGATCAACTTTTAACATGGACTTTTTCTTTGCCTGGCTTATTTCACTTCCATAATTTCCCTCAGGTTCATCCAGACTGTCACAAACAGCAGGCTGCCCTTTTCATGGCTGAATAGTATTCCATGGTGTGTATCCATCACATTTTGGTTATTCATTTATTGATGGACTTAGGTTGCTTCCATATCCTGGCTATGAATAATGCTGCAATAAACATGGATGTGCAGATATCGCTTTGATATAGTGATTTCATACCTTTGGATATATGAACCCAGTAGTGAGATTGGTGGACTATATGGTAGTTCTATTTTTAATTTTTTGAGGTGCCCTCCATCCTGTCTTCCACAATGACTATACTAACTTAGGTTCCCACTGACAATGGGCAGGGTTCCCGTTCTCCACAGCTTTCATATTTAACACTTATCTTTTGCCTTTTTGATAATGGCCATTCCAATAGGTATAACGTGATACCCCATTGTGGTTTTGATTTGCATTTAGCTGATGACTAGTGACATTAAGCAATTATTCATGTACCTGTTTGGCCATCTGTATATCTTCTTTTGAGAAATGTCTATTTGGGTTCCTTGCCCATTTTTTAATTGGGTTATTTTTCTTTTGCTGTGGAGTTGAGTTCCTCATCTGTTTTATGAACCCCTTGTCGGATACATGGTTTGCAGATAATCTCCCATCCTGTAGATTGCCCGACTGTCTCTTCCCTCTGTTCGTTGTTCCCTTGGCTGTGCACAAGCTTTTCATTTGACGTCATCCCATCTGTTTATTTTTTGCTTTTGTCACCCATACTTTTGAGTTTTACTCAAAACAATCATTTCTCAGACCAAGCACAGCATTTTCCTAAGAGTACTCGCTAATCAAATGACCTTGTCCTAGTCCTATTCCCTATTAATCGGATCGGTGTGCGAGGCAGCTTGAACTGGTAGGCGATGAGTCTTCTTGAAAAGCTTTCAAAATACAGTCACGTGGCACATAACAGCATTTTGGTCAATGTTGTACCACGTCTATGACAGTGGTACCACAAGATCATGATGGAGCCAAATATTTATTGCCTAGTAACATTGTAGCCGTCATAACGTCATAGTGCAACATATTATCCACATGTTTATGGCAATGACACTGGTGCAAACAAACCTGCCAAGCTGCCAGTTGTATAAAAGTAGTCAACACCAATTATGTATCCTACACAATACTTGGCAATGATAATGAATGACTGTTACTGGCTTGTGTATTTATTATACTGTTTAATCATTATTTTAGAGCATACTCCATATATATATAATACATATTATATATGATATATAAAATGTACACAATATGTGTAGCATATATAAGCATTTAAAATACATATTTTTTTTTTTTGGAGACACAGTTTTACTTTGTCAGCCTGGGTAGAGTGCTGTGGCGTCACAGCTCACAGCAACCTGAAACTCTTGGTCTTAAGCAATTCTCTTGCCTCAGCCCCCCAAGTGGAAGGGACTACAAGGGCCTGCCACAACGCCCAGCTATTTTTTTTGTTGCGGTTGTCATTGTTTAGCTGGCCTGGGCCAGGCTCAAACTCATCAGCCTTGGTGCATGTGGCTAGCACCGAACCCTAACCCTGTAGGTGCTGAGCCTAAAATACATGTATATATTTTAAAGTTAGCTGTAAAAGAGTCTCACTTAGGATGTATTCCAGAAGAAGGCATTGTCATGACAGGAGGTGACAGCTCCATGCATGTCACTGCCTTTGAAGACCTTTTGGTAGGACAAGAAGTAGACCTGATGATTTGAGACTCCTGCCTAGGCTAATGTGTGGGTGTTGTGTCTTCATTTTTAACATAGTTTAAAAAGTTTTAAAAAAAAAAGGGGGCGGAGCCTGTGACTCAAAGGAGTAGGGCGCTGGCCCCATATATACTGGAGGTGGTGGGTTCAAACCCAGCCCCCGGCCAAAAACTG